GCGACGTAAAAACTTGATGTAAAGAAATCACTGTCATAAAGGTAAATGAACAGCTGATAAGCAAAAGCTTGGCATGGGTGTCCGTAACAGTGCTGCCAACGTGACACAAACAACAGAATTCTAAACCGATAAGCCCGCGAGGTTTAAAATAAAAATTCTGGTATTTTTTTGATCATGGTAGTATTAATAGCAAAATGTTGAGAATAATTATTTATTTATATAGTTGCTTAGTATTTAGTTATTGTCTGGAAAGACTTTTACAGAAAATACAAAGGTTTAATCTTTGTAATTAGAATAATACAATATTTAAAATTGTTTTTATTTTACATATTTTTTCTTGTTTGTATATAACAAAATAATAAATAAAAAATAGAATAACGAAATAACTAACAAAAACAATCAATAGTACATTCATATTTCTACCAAAAAATGGAAGTTATAATTTAAACAATATCAAAAAGTAGCACCAAGTGAACTTTTGTACGTTATCATAAGAAACAATATAAAATAGAAAACAATATTAAAGAGAAATACAATTTACAATAACATACTTATGTCAAAAGTAAGACTATGCCTTATCTTTTTTTCTGTGATTATATACTACAAAACATTCTTTCTCTAAAACCCTATTTTCTTGTTGAAAAACAATATACAATAACATAATTGTTTCTATAGTAAAACTACGCTTTAACATTTTTCCGTGTGATTATTAATAATTAATCTTAAGTACATAACTATGTATTATACTTTGGTAAGATTATATTGGGAGTACAAATTAGTTTGGTCCGTTTTTTCGTGTTCAAAAATGCATTTATTTCAAAACAAAATAAATGAACAGATTAATTAAAGTATTGTCTATCGGTGGCTACTACTTTTTTCCATCTCTTCGGCAATTTTCGAATTCCATCTCGAAAAAATGTCTCGTCTTTGGAGGCGATCCAAGTTTGGAACCAATTTTCACTTTCTGCGAAAGAAGTGAACCGGTGACCTGCCAAATCGTGCTGCATCCTTCGGAACAAGTAATCAGAAGGAACAATGTCCGGAGAATACGGCGGGTGCGGTAAAACATCCCATTTGAGCATTTCCAAATATATTTTTACGACTTTTGCGACATAAGGCCGAGCGTTGTCATGAAGAAGAATAACTTTATCATGTCTTCGCTTGTATTCCGGCCGTTTTTCTCGCAATGCACAGCTCAAACGAATCAATTGTAGCCGATATAGATTGCCTGTAATAGAATCGCCAGGTTTCAGCAGCTCATAGTAAACACCACCCTTTTGGTCCCACCAGATACACAGCGTGATCTTCGAACCATGAATGTTCGGGTTTGGTGTTGATGTTGAGGTCAATGGCAACGATTGACTGGGCTTAGCGTAGTATTTTTTCTTTTTGGAGTTGTAGAATATCCACTTCTCATCTCCAGTCACAGCCCGATGCAAAAAACCTTTTCTTTGTTGCCTTTGGATCAGCAACTCGCAAGTTAAAAATTGTCTTTCAACGTCTCTCGGTTTTAGTTCATAAGGCACCCAATTTCCTTGTTTTTGAATCATTTCCATGGCTCTTAATCGTACAGAAAGGGCTTGTTGAGTTACTCCCAATGATTCTGCAAGCTCCTCTTGCGTTTGACTCTGATCTTCTTCGAGTATTGTCTCCAAGTCTTTGTCTTCGAATTGTTTTGGCTGTCTAAAGCGAGGCTTGTCTTCAACGCTGAAATCTCCATCCTTGAAACGTCGAAACCATTCCTTACATGATTTTATCAGTTGTAGCAGTGTCACCATAAACTTTGGCAAGCATTCGATGAGCTTCAGCTGCACTTTTCTTTCAATTAAAGCAGAAAATTAAAACCTCCCAAATGCTGCTTGGTTAACACAAAATTCGACATTTCAAACACAGTAAAAATCAAAGTATTTGTATGAAACTCAAAGCAATATAAACTGAATATTATTAGCAGATGTCTAACCTTTCTGAAAGCGCCAAAATCAGCTGTCACTATGAATCATGCACAACACCCGGAGCCATCTTTTGGAAACGGACCGAACTACTTTGTATTCCCAATATTTATTACTAGAACATAGAGATATAACAAAAAAAAAAATTTTTTTTAACTATAAAAAATATTTAATGCAAACGAACTTGACGCGGCTGCTCCTCAATTATAATGAAATTATTTCTTTGTGCAGCAGTGATGCAGCCATTTTATGCATTGTAATAATTAATAGAAATAATTTTTTCTTGCATTAAATTTCACATTCCTTTTGTCTCTTGAAATCTTACAAAAAAGTTCGATAATAGATAGAATTGTCGTCAAGACGTACCCATTTTCAACATACAGAAGAAGATTTTGACAAATACAAAAAATGAAAGAGGTCTTTTCTATCTTTTACAAAACTTATGTTTTACAAAATTATTTTGTAAACAATCCGTGTGTCTTTTTTTCTTTCCATTATAGAAATTTTCTGTAAGGTTTCAAAAAATAAAAGGAATGTGATTTTTAATACAAGAAAAAATTATTTCTATTAATTATTATTACGATGCGTAAAAGTTTTCATGCTAGCGACGTAAAGCATAGCTTCGCTGCGCCGACCGTTGTAGCGGCGGAGCGCTCACGCACAATATGCGCGGCTCAGTGACATACGTCCGACTAAAGGTCGGCGCTGATTGGCATAATTTACTCAATAATTACTCTTTTAGTACATGTTATAGAAGAAAATGGTTCAGAACTTTTAGACTCAGTTTTTAATGAAGAATAACGCTATGTCCTTAGTGGACGGTCTTCTGTACATACCCTGTAAATACAGAGTAGACCAAATAAAGTGTTACAAGCTATTTTTCTGTACCTACTGCAAATATTAATTTAAAGTTGTTTTTTAATTTAAATGTGTGTGGGACAGCAGGCTGGCAATGTGATGTGTGAAGAAAAAATGAGTGTCTGATTTGGAAATATGCGCCGATAAAGTTTTGCAGTGAAAAATTTACAGGTTTATTCGGAAACGTCGTTATTATCGTCGTCGTGGGATCACATTGTGTGCATGTTTGAATGCCTGCTACCAGATGGCATGCATGTGCAGGTGTGTCGAAAGAAGAAAAAAAAGAAAAACAAGAAATGCGAGTTAGAGAAAGAGTGAATCAAGAAGCACGACAGTAGTTCGCGTTATTCGCGCTGACAACACTTCCGATAGTACCGATCGCTCCGACAATGTTTCTCGCGGTGTAGTAAAAAAAACTGTTTTGAAACTTGGCACACAGTAAATACAAACTATATACTTTATATTTATAAAGTAGAAAATTAATTCAAAAAACGGGTAAACAAATAGAGCAGAAAAATTAGACTCCGGAAACATCTCCGACAGTATTGATTGCTCCGACAAAGTTTCTAGCGATGTGTTGTTTCACAATACGGCGCACAGTGGAATAAAGGTGGCATTTTTTTCGAAATATATAACTTTTTAAAAGTAAACTGTTTTGAAATTTGGTTGATAATGTAAATATTTTTTTAAATCTTTTTTCTATGTATTTTCTAAACTATAACGTATATACTACACAATGTGTAATATCTCAAAACACATCTTTTCAAAAAAAAGTACAAATAGGCGCCTAGTATAACGCATAACACGTATTATACTTGAATTAAAAATCTTAACTCAAACTGGTTTTACTTATTATTTTATATAAAAAAGCTTAAAAGTTTAAGTCAAAAAGCTTAAGTTTTTATTTTATACAAAAAAGTGTTTTTTTATAAAATCTGGTTTACAAAATAGTATTTACTACAAACTATTTTTTTTCTAAAAATCTATGTTACAAAAAAAGTGATATCAAAAAGTAGTACCAAGTAAACTTATGTACGTTATTATATTGAAAAACCATATACAATAACATACTTGTGTCAATAGTAAGACTACACCTTAAGTTTATTTCGTGATTATTAACTAATTTTAAGTACATAACTGTGTTCTTTGGTAAAATTATAGCAGTTCTTACTAGAATACAGAAGTGTAAAAAAGAGAGGAAAACGTTTTTCGAACTATAAAATATTTAATGCAAAAGAACTTGGCGCGGCTGCATCGAAAGCCTACAAACATATTTTACGTGCGCGTGCAGGCTATTTACAAAGTGCAGATAAACATATTATACGCGCACGCGTGCTTTACAGCTATTTACAATTTATTTCATATATTTTACATTAAAACAAAAACTCTGAGTTGCTATTATACATCAGACTGCCGCATAAAGATTTAATTTCAGTTCATTATAGATGGATATATAAATGCAGCCAGGTTTTTTTTGCATTAAATATGTTTTATAGTTTGAAAACAGTTTTCCTCTTTTTTTACACTTCTGTATTCTAGTAGATAGATAGATAAATAGATAGAATAGTTTATTGAGTTCCTCTAAGGGGTATTTATATACATATCCATCACTTACAAACTAATTCGCTTACAATCTAAAGTTAACGCCATTTTAATCTCTAACTTAACCTAACCTAATACACACACGCTTTTAATCTTAATCCTAAGTCTCGGCCCTCTGCTTCCGCTAGTATTCTCTCTCACTCTCATTCATACTCTCTCACTCCTACATGCTCCCTTCCATTCACATTTTCCTCTTCTTTCCTCTCTCCTCATCTTCATCTCCATCTCCTCAAAACTCTTCCACTTTTCTCATCTAGTTTTCTCCTTTTCCATCCTCCCCCAACACCACTTTTTTCATTTCCTTCCAATTTCTAGTCGCTCTCTATCTTCGACACTTTTCCCACACGTACTTTCATTCTTCCTCCTCATTCCCACACATCCTGCGCGTTTTTTTGTCTTCCCCCTCCCAGTATCTCTCTCTCCTTATCTCATTTCCTACTCTAAATCTTGCCACTCCTTGCCATCTTTTTTTGCTCCAATCTTTTCTCAAATACTCAAAGTTTTCCTCTTCTTTAACTTCCCTATACCACTTGTTAAATCGAGACTCTATTTTCTCCATCTCTCTTCTCTCTGTAATTCTTTTTCTTTTTCCAACATGCATTGTTCTTTCCACTTTCCCCTCTTCTTCACCTCTCTCATCTTATTTATACCCATTCCCCTCTCTTCATAATGCTCTATCCTTTTCCTTTCCCAGTCCGAAACCTTTCCTTCTCCTACCTCACTGTTTGATATCCTTCAAACATCTCTTTGCTATCTCACTTCTTTTCTCTCTCTCCAGTCCTTCCTCAAAACTTCTTGCCTTTTGCTTCGCTTTTTTTCTCAGCATATTCCTCTGCAGTTCTTCTCTCAACATGTATCCAGGGGTTCTTCATTCAACCCCCAGGATCCACCTCATGTATCTATCCTCTAGCTCCTCTACTTTTCTTTGTTCTTTTCATCCCCGTACCTTCATTTCGTACCCTATCACTGACCATACCAGAGCGTCAAAGAATCACATTCTTTTACTCCAGTCCTTACCAAACTTAGTTTTCCCAATCCCCCAGAACTGTCCCATTATTGCTGCCCCTTTTCTTATTCTATCCTTAATATGCGCCTCTTTCCCTCCATTCCTCTGAAAAACAAAACCTAAGTACCTAAACTCTTTTACCTCTTCTATCCTCTGCTCTTTCCACCATCATTCTGCTTTCTTCTCTCTCCCCTGTCCCTTCTTAAATCTCATCATTTTTGACTTTCCTACATTTAACTCTAACCCTTTTTCCTTTAGATATTTTTCCAATCCTCTCATCATCTTCCTCATCGCCTTTTTTTCCGCTAACATTACCACGTTGTCCGCATACGCTAGCGTGCAAATCCTTTCTTCCCTCGGACTTACACTTCCTTACCTTCCTTTTTTTTATACTCTTCTAAGTCCGCTGTCATAAGATTGAAGAGATCTGGGCTCAGAGAACACCCTTGTCTCACTCCCGTCCAAAACTTCCTATCCATTGTCCTTTCCACTTTCATTCTATTTTTCGTTTCCTTATATAGATCTCCACACCGTCTAACTAAGCCTTTTCTCACTCCTCTTTCTCTCATAGTCTCTAGAAGTCCCTTCTTGTCCACCGAATCAAAAGTTGTCTTTAGGTCTACAAAGAATGCAATTATTTTCCTCTTTTTCCTACTCAAGTTTTTGCCCACTATATAGTTTATAATATATATGTTATCCATTACTTTTTTTCCCTTTTTAAATCCCGCCTGGTTTTCCGGTACCATTCTCTTACTCCTTACCTCCTCCCTTATTCTCTCTGCCAGAACTTCAGCATATACTTTATAAAGTGTGGATGTCAGTATTATCTCTCTATATTCCTCCACCCTACTTTCTTCCACTTTCTTCAGAACTGGAACTATAATTCCATCGTTTAGTCCTCTATCCACCCCTTCCTTTTTCATATTTTCCCACACACTTTCCACACTTAGTCCTGTACCGATACTCCCCCATACTTTCACACTTCCGCGAGTATCCCTTCTCTTCCAGTTGCCTTTCCGTCCTTCATCTTTTTCATCGCCTTTACAATTTCTTCTCTCTCTATCCCTCGTTCATCATCAATCCCTCTTCTCTCTTCTTGCACAACTTTCCAACCTACCTCCCGAAGTAACTTTTTAAAATATTCATCCTATTCCTCCAACTCAATCTCGCCACACTCTTCTCACTATTTCCTCTTCCTTTCCCTGTTCGCTCCCACATCTCTTTTTCTATTCTTGCTTTTCTTGCCTTCTTTACCCATCTTTTATTCTCCTCCTTTCTTTTTCCCTCACACAAATCCTTATAGCTT